CCCTCTGTGCATTGAGTAGGTTCAGGGTTTATCGGAACAATGCACACAGTTTATTCCAAAGGTGTGCTAACTTTTTTGCAGGGACAGTCACTGATGGGCCTTTTATTAAGGTCACAGGAAGAAATCTTGTGTGGTGATAAACACGCAGTATGTTGTAGACAGGAAAGAGAAAATATAACCGTTTGTAAAAGAATGCTGAAATAAACATTCAGTGCTGAAACAAACATAGGTAATTAAAATAAGTTCAGCACTGATTTGTTTTGCAAAAACAGTAAGGTATACCAGTACACCACTAGTGAAAATCACTGGTGGAGCACACTTAAAACTATAGTGGAATTTTTAATTTTCTTCAACATACACGTAATTTTGGATTATTAGACTAGACTATGTGGCTAAAGCTTTGTTGTCAAATCAGACTAAAATTGCCTTAAACAGAGACTTCATGAGGAGGGTGGTACATTTGCTCAAAGAGGACTTATAAAGCTTTTAATAACTAAAACCTCTCTTTTCTTTGTCCTGGAGAAAAGAAAGAGATTTGCTAAAAATGTGAGAATCTGTGATAGATTCTATGCTATACTTATATTAAGAGACATGCCCTGACCATGTAGATAGGTTATAACAAAAGCAATGTTGAAAGTCTTAGACACAGTGGGATCAGAGTAGGGCAGAGTAGCGTTAAGTGGGTTAAAAATTTTGTGCCATGCTAGGCTGCACTAGCATCTTAAGGGAAATAAGCATTTCTCGATTTTGGCCTCCTCAGCACATGAAAAATGCTGGAAAACCAGGTAGTGTCCAGCAGGGGGCTATGGAGATGTAATCCACAAGATGCACATGGTGAAGTAGAGACGGGCATCTTTGCTTATGTGGAAAAAAGAGGAGCAACATGGATGTGAGGGTCTTCATTTCTGTAGCATACAGAAAATGGAGCCAGATTATTCTCACATGCATAATGAAAAGACAAGACCCAATGGGCACTATTCTAACTGCAGTAAGAGATATTCTAACTAGTTATAAGGAAAAAAAGCTTTTCCAATGAGGGTGGTCAAGTACTGGTAGCGCTTGTAGAGCAAGAGGTTTTTCAATCTCCTCTCTCACAGACAGTGTAAATCTGTCTGGGCAGGGTCCCAAGCAACCTGACAGAACCTAGATATCAGCCTTGGTTTAAGTGGGAGCTGAACTAGATGAACTATAGATGTCTCTTCTGAAATAAACTATTATTTAACTCCAGGATTTGAAAGTCTGTAAAGTTCTTCTATTTGCAAAACTTCTAGGGCTGCTGCATATTCACAGATCTTTCTCTTTCTTCACATCAGATTCATAACATATATACAATATATTGTGTTACTGACTTAATGGCTCAAATTCCAAAAGGCCAAAGTCTCTTAAAGGAGATGCACATTAGTAGGCAAACCTATTTCAGACCCCGTGCAATGCTGTTTAGAATATCCCCATACAGCTTTCAAGGAGAAAAATCCATTTTATCTCATACCAATAACTTGATCACTAGGAAAGTACTGCTACAAGACAGATACTTCAGAGCATAAAAAAAAAAAGCTTCATTTGTACAGACAAAAAGAATGATAGCCACATTACAAGAGAACTAAGCATTCACATTTCAGACTGGCCAGCAAGAAGATGCACCATGCTCTAAACAAGAAAGGTAGCAAAGTTTGTGACAAACAACTTTTGAGAGTGTATTTGAAACAGATAAGGACATCTTTTGCCTCTACATCATTATTGCCTTTGAAACAACAGGTCAAAAAAACCCAAAAAACCCTCTAATATTTGCACTGCTCTTCCTTCCCTGTTGCTCTGCTCCTGTGGTGATCTAGTCCTTCCATTTTGACTGAAGAATCAATGTGACACATGCTTCTCATATCTGTCAGTGAGATGCTAAGTAACAATTTTCCTATATTAAGCCCTAGGGAAATTAGATTTTTTTATAATTAATGTGGAGTCTCCACTGACAGCTGCCACTACTCTTCCCACTACTTACTCACTCAACTTCACAGTCCTTTGGCTTAAATGCTTCGTGTGTTTAATTTTAAGGGAAGAACCAGTAAATTGGCCCTGTCATTACTTAGGGCAGGGGGAACAAAAAGTCAGATAGAGATTTTATTACTCAGATTTGGTAAACATTTTAAGCAAAATTTCATGGTTTGAAATATTCTAGCCTATGGCTCAATATGTAGAAATCAATGAATTCTTTTGAAAGAATTAATTAATTAAACATTTGCAAATTCACTTTAAATCCATGAACTTGTGAATGTTCCAAGTTCTAGAACTGCTTATCCACTTGAAAGTTAGAAGACATATATTTCACCTCACTATAAACGCACTTTAGCATTATGAAGGTATTGTAGCAGACTTTCCATTGGTTTAGTCTGGTGGAGTTTTTTAGAATTTTCATTATATTTCAAAGATAATTCAGATTTTTTTTAACTTTGTATATCAAATAATAAATTACTCCATTACCTTCCTTTTTCATTCCTGCTCGAAAACACTTTTTTAAACGACAATATCTGCATTGATTCCTTTTGTCCTTGTCAACAATACACTGTCGGTTGAATCTATCAGAGACAAGAAAAGGTACATTTTTACAGCATTAATAAAGTAGCACCCTGATTACAAAGAAGAAAACCAACTAATCGGTCCTGTCAGAAAAATGTCTATAACCACAGACTCTCTTCTTCAGTTGCATTGATTATTCTTCTTTTATTAATCACTTTTGAGAGGTGTCCCAACCTGATAATTTTCCAGGAATATGTGTGTGTATAAACACATGTATGCATTGGAATAGGCAAGCATGGAAAATTTTGTAGGGATGTATATCATTTACACCTCAATTGATTTGTGAGGTATGTCAGTACCTAGCTGCATCAAATGGAAGTGGAAGAAAAAATAATTAAGAAAAGCTGCAAATAGAAAAGGAAAGGAAAATCAAAGAAAAAGTCGTATGTTGCTGGCATGGAGGATCCCCTTAGCTGCAAAACCATTACCCTTGTCTGGCAGTGTTTACTCCTTCTGGGAGATAACAATGAACAAGCTGCATGTTTTATCACTACAGGTGTCAACCTAAACAGGAAATGAGAGGAACCAACACAATGAAATAAAGACTTGAGGAAATACATGGAGCATGACACTGCAAGGCAGCTTCCTGAGGCTATTATGCACATCTACAGGTGTGCCTAAATGGAATGCATATGAGCCATTTGCCCCTCTGTCTAAGTCTGCCTTTTATTCTTTGCATGTGTTTGTTAGATAAACAGACTCTGTCAAAGCAGAACTCTTCCTGAAATCACTTATGTCAGCTCTTAACACACCACTTTAGGGGTATGTCTATGCTATTTCACTGGACGATGTTTGTAAGGGAGAGGTTTCCTTATAAGAATATTACATAGGCAAAGAAGAGTGTGGAAAACATCTCCAGTAACAAGGCATTCTTATAAAGGTTTTATTGTCACCCCATGCAACAGCACAGGGGGACAGAGACTGGGGGCGATAGTCAGTTCACCACGTTGTCTCTGCTGCTGCTTCCTGCTCAAGGGAAAACTCCTCTCAGTCTTCACCTGCTCCATTGTCAGGTCTCTCCCAACAGCGACAGTTGTCCACAAACTTCTCCAATGTTAGTTCTTCCCATGGGCTTAGTTCTTCATGAAGTGCTCCAGCATGGATGCTTTCCACAGCATGCAGTACTTTAGGATTGGGCTGCCCCAGCAATGGGTCCCCTGCAGGGTCAACAGTCCTGCCAGAAAACCTTCTCCAGTGTGAGATCCTCCTTCAATGGGGCCACAGGCCCAGCCAGGAGGCTGCTGCTGCACAGTCTTCCCTTAGGGTCACATCCTTCTTTCAGGTATTCACCTTCTCCAGCAGCAGCTCCTCCATGGGCTGCAGATGAATAATATCTGCTCCTCTGTGGATTTCCATGGTTTTCAAAGGGACACTTGCCTCATCATAGTCTGTGCCATGGGCTGTAGGAGAATCTTTGCTCCAGCTTTTAAAGCACATCCCTCCCCATCCTTCTCCACTAACCTTGTTGTCTGCAGAGCTGTTCCTCTCTCACATTGTCACTACTCTTCTCTGCACAATTTTGTTCTGCACAATAATTATTTTTTCTTTTTAAATACATTATCTCCAGAGATACTACCACCATTTCTGATAGGCTCAGCTATGGCCATCTTGAAGCTGACTGGCATTGGCTTCACCAGATACAGGGGACACTTCTGACAGCTTCTCACTAGAACCCACTTTTGTAGCCACGTCACTACCAAAATCTCGGCATGAAAAACCCCTCCAGTGATTTTTTCAAACTCATTGAGTTTTCCATATATTCTGCTCATGACTCAAAATGCACATTCTATAGCCCTGAGCCTACACAGATAATTTCATCAAACATTGTGCAGTGTGATATTTTGGGCACCATTTGGAAATTTACAGATTGCCATTCAGACAGACAGGGGGAAATGGCTGCTCAAAAGACCTGTGTGTCACACCAAGTGGCAATATGTGCAGATGTGTTTGTACAGTCCTTAAAACAAGACCCATAAATCTATTCAGAAACTACCTTCATAAGGAAAGAATTTTAGAAAACAGTTAAGTATTAGAGTTTTTACATTGAAGTGAAAATATGAACATTTTTCCTTTTTTTTTTTTCAGGAGATGACTTTTTAAATCATAAATAAAAGAGTGAAACAGCTTCTCAGTGATGTAATGATATCAACAAGATCATCAAGCACCTGGAACATAATTTCTGGAATGTGTAATATCAAGTAGCACTCCTTAAGAAAAAGCTGAAAATCCCCTGACATAACTGAAAAATTATGACAAGGTATGAATATAATTTTTGCTTAAATTCATTAATTTAGTGCCTCTAGAACTTTTGAAATACCTGCATGAATAGACGTGGTTTTTCCTTATGCTACGTCTAAAAAATCCCTTGCATCCATCACAGCTGGAAGCACCATAATGTTTTCCGGTCGCTCGGTCTCCACATATTGCACAGAGACTGCTGACCCCGTTGTCGGCAGCATTCATGTTGGCAGCTTCTCCAGAACTGTCTGATAAGAGACAAGAACATGCACAGTTATGGATAAGACTTCCAAAACCACCCCATGAGCAAGTTGTAGCTAAATAGAGGCTTTTCCTAGCCTTTTCTCTTTTAATTGCCACTTACAATTTATATAGCATGACCCATCTGATTACATCTGGTTCTTACTGACATGAACACTTTCAAAGTGATAGAGATGTTAAAAGAATTTATGCAGTTCATTACAACAAATAATCATGTCCTAAACTCTTTTCAGCTGAAGGGTTAAAAATTAAAGTGCTTTTCTGCATTTAAAGTTATAAATACTCCTACTAACATGAAGAGGAACTTTGGCACAAAGCAGTTCTAATTGGTAAAGATCTCATTTATGAATTCTCATACAAACTGGCAATAGCTGGCAACTCTCTTACAAAGATTTGTGACATTAAAAAAAGAAACAAAAATAAGAAGGATTTTGTACAACTTTATTAAAAAAAAAAAACAACAAAAATACATGCTAAGAGTATTAATATACTATTAACATGTCTGTTATTTCTTTGAAGAAATTTTTGACAGGAGCACTGGTGCAGTCTTTCCTTGCACAGAATATTAGCTATGTGATTAACAATTAGTCACTGACCATGGTAAACACTACTGAATAAATTCACCTGAAATCAAACCAGATATATTTATTCTTTGAGTCACTATGTTAACAGATGTGTTAAAAGAAACAACTGCAAAACAGCTTTTCTGTTTTGTTTCTGGTTTAAACAGAAGGAAAATATACCCTAAGCATTTGTAGCTGTTTTGTCCAGGAGAGAAAAGACTGCTACATTAATCAGATATGCAAAAATGAATTCAAAAGTCAAATACATGAGTTCATGAACAGCATACAGGATGAACAGTAAAACTGTTAATATGGATTAATATTACTCATATTGTATAGATCCAACCAAAACACATAACACAAATACATCATAAAATTTTAATTGTGTCCCACCAAAGTTAAAAGTTAAAAAGTTCTCTAGATACAGAGACAAGCAGCCTTTCTGTTTTGTTTTGTTTTACTGAGCTGTAATTGATAGGAATTACTTT